CTGCCTATAGCCATCAAAAAATTGAGCTATGTGGGGGACACCTAACACCAAGAAGTAGCTTGTGAGACATGTAGTGTACCTAAAGTACAGGTGTATTTCATTCTACAGCTTTAAAGCCTGAGCTGTAAAACTGTACCACATTGTCTTACCTGTGGTCAAGAGTCTGCAGTTCTGATTTACAGTCATAATAAGTTCTTGAATTCCTGGTTTTCACAATATGAAGACTTGTTTAGCCTCACGTGGGAGTTTGAGCAAAGTAAAACTGGAAACACAGAGGTCAGAGGTTGCATTGAGAGACTGCATTTTACTTATCCTTTTTTCCAAGCTTTAACTATGAATGACACACACAAAAAAAAAAGGTCCCTTTCTGATTCAGCCCAGCTTCCACAGCCAGGGCCTGGAGCAGCTGAGCAGTACTCAGTAAGCATGAGAAGCCTCACATCTGCCCCAGTGTGGCTTTTGTGCCGATACAGATCTGCTGTGCAGCATCTGAGGGGTTCGTTACTTGTCAGCCAGTGCAGTCCCTGCAGTGGGCACAACCCAAACAGTTAAGTGTAAGGACGACGCATACGCAAATATATCCTCATAGGGAACATGAGCTGTCCAGCTCCTGAACACTTCCTTGTCGTCCCATCTCCACAGAGAAGCAAGTGAGCTTCCAATTCATCTGCTGCACACAAACCCATTCATCAGAAACTGCTCTGTTGACACCTGTGCTCATCAGATTGTACAACTTGAACTACTCTGTCACAAAGCCCAAGAGATCCTCTGCTCCACCACCTCACTGACCCATCCTTGCAGGACAGCCAGCAAGTGCCAAGACCTGATCCTTCCTTGCTTTAGAACCACTCGTCCCATGGCTAAACCCTCAGCAAAGCATAAAGGCTTTGCTGAGGCTCATTTGCCTTCCTTGGTGTCATTGTTTGACCTCACTAGGAGGATGAGGGGCTTCAGACCAAGCCACACCAGCCATAGCATCACACAGAGTGTTGATGAGGGGATAGAGAAAGACAACACAATAGGTACAAGCACAAATAAATCAAAGCCCTAAAACTGCTTTTCTCTGCTTCACAACATGGCAGGTGTCCCCAGTAATTTCTTACAGGATAAACACTGCATTTGGTGTGTAATTTGTTTGGTAAACCCTACATTTCAGCTATAATTACCCCATAAAGGCCGCTCAGTGAAGATGACATTTAAAGTGGCCTTCAGCTCACAGCTGCAACCTCCATCCCATGGGAGTTGGAGCGTACATCCTTCCCCAGGAGAGAGATGCTGTGAGCATGGCAGCCAGATGTGCACCCAAAATCAGCCATTCACAGAGTGGTCTTTTAGTGAGGACAACACACACATCAAAACCAAATTATTTGATTTCTCTGCCAGCACCTCTGCAAGATGCAGGCAGTTGGCATTTCCTCAAATGGGAGGGCTTGGGGTGTCTTTCATTCTGAGGATTAATAGCTCCAATATAACCAACATATGTGATGATACCAGCTTGGAGGATAATCCATGCAGAAGTGGTTACCTGCAGCATGCACCTTCTAGTGTCCCTCTTGCAAAGGAATATTTCCTTTCTAATGTTTACTTAACAAAGGGCAGGCACATTACTTTGCACTGAGACACCCAGTGAGACAACTGGATGAGGTACAAGCACACAGAGCCTTTAATAAAAGGAGCCTCTAGCTCCCTGCCATCTGGTTCCTCTCCTGTCCTCCTGTCTTCTCCACCTTGCCCAAGTCATGCCATAAGTGAACCCTTCTTCATACAGCTCTCCCCTGCTCCAGTCTTCCAGACACCCAGTTTATCCCTCCTTCCTGACACTCACTGAATCCTCATCTTTAACCCAAAACCATTGTTTTTCCACCCAGCCTCTCACCTGTACTCTGCTTGTCCCCAGCCCTCATGGTGTCTTCTCCAGCTTTCTCACTCCTTCCCCTTCCACCTCTCCTCAAACTCCTCCATGTCCTTCCCTTCTTCACTGCTTCCTGCCCTCACTTGGCTTTCCAGATAATTGACTTTAATAACTCCCATGCCACCATGCCTTCCAGGACATGGAGAGGGGGGATACCCAAGAGAAATAGGCAGGAATCTGCCTCCTGCACTAAGCTCTTGTCAGACTTTATGAAATGAGCTTAACATAGACAAAAAGTATCAGTACTGAGGATGGCATAAAATCCAACCATGTCAGCATTCAGCTTGTTAATTAGCCTCCAAATGCACTGCTATAGAAGCTGAAGCCATCACTGAAGCTAAATAAATATGGGAATCGGATAGAAACCGGGAAGTCAATGCTGCAAACTAACTGCTTCTGCAGACAAGTTTTCATTACCAGAGGGGCAGACATCAGCGTCCCGAAAGCACCACAACAAGGGTAATTATTTCCTGGCAGTGCTCTGCATTCACACAAGGTACCTTGCCTTGTTCACAGCAGTAAAGGCCAGCAGAGCCATCGATCAGGTCAGGCGCCTGTCACTCCTGGAGGCATCAGGGGTTTTAACGAGCCATGCAAAGGGCATTTTGGAATTGTCACAAGTTCACGCTTGGTTAGGAAGGCAATTTGAAGCAGATTTATTGACCTCCTTCCCTCCCCTGCCATCAGGGAGCAGAGAGAAGGAAAGCTGTCCAGATCCAAGTCTTGCCAGGACCTGCCAGAAGAGGCCCCTGGCAGAAGCCTCTGAAAGGGGGAAGAGCTGAATGCTGTTGTCAGCAAAGATTTTAGCTGGAAAGGCAGCGATGTGCTCCAGTTGAGTCAGGTCACTGCAGAATGCTGCTCCCGAGAGCACCCGTGTCCTTCTCCAGCAAACTGATTTATATTCTTAGGGGCTCCTAAACCCACATTGGTCTCACCTGATCATTTCAGGTCAGCACAGCCCAGCTCAGCACAGGGAAGTCCCTCCAGGTTTATCTCCCATGCTCTGAAACACCCAGTTCCCTTCTCTAATGAAAGGAAAGGAGGTGAAGTAGGGAAAGGAAGAGAGGGGGAAGGTTATAACAGGAAAGCAGAAGGCCAAGGGTTAACCCCCAAAACAGAATTCTGGCCTGCCCACATCAGGCAACAGCAGCAGCAGGAATATTGCTCCCACACCAGCCAACCACAGCATCTTCATTCTTCAGCACCAAGGGCAGCAACTTCATCCTACTCTCATTCCAAACCAATTCCAGTCAGCTTTAAAAGAATTTGAAGTTCCCCATCCATAGGGACTTAAGGCAACACAAAAGCTGGAACCAGCCAGCTCTTGCCTGAGCAGAGCCCCAGCTACACAAGCAGCCCTTCAGGGAGGTCAAAAGCCTTTAAGCATGGTGTTATTCTACAGCAGGCAGTAGTACAGCTCTTGCAGAAGAGATGGCAATATCCAAGCATGTCAGGAAACACAGATGTGAAAAGGGGAAATTAAGTTCCTTGCAAGAAGCTAGACTGTTTTTGCCTTTCAGCACTTGCTGAGAACTTCAGTTTCCCAGTCTATTGCTTTCATGACAAAGCTGCTTGGGAAACCCTCCTTAAGCACTTACCCTTGCCAGTTAGAGGTCACAGTAACATGTTGGCTAATGCTTCCTAACGCAGCTCATGAAACATGACAGCCTTTTGGAGTGATGCCCAAGGTAACCTTCACCCAGCACCAGCACATTCCATGACCTAGAAGTCAGGCATTTGAACAAAGAACAGCAGGAACTGAATGAAGAAAGGCAGAAATACATGAACATGAGAATTAAATAATTAAAATGTGAAATAAACTGGCAGATGGAGATGGTGGCATCTACCAAAAGGGAAACAAGGAGCAAGTGCCCCTGTGATTGCATTTGAAATTCAAATCGACCTATAACTGTATTATCACATGTGACCACAGCAGAAGCAGGGAGGAACAGCAGTAGAGGAGGGTAAGATATAATCACTTGGGCTATAATTATCAGCATCAAGGAACACTACATCATTCCCAAGGGCTACTGAAAGCCAAAAGGGACACCTCAAAACATGTCTTCCCCACCGACATGTTTGCCTAGGGTTGTCATATTACCAACACATTTCTTAGTTCTATACAAATTTACTAAAAATGTGGATAGTCAGAGAAGCTTGTATTGAACAGAATAATCTGGATACTTTCCCAGAGCTCAGATGATCTTCCATCTCAAACACTGCAGAAAGCCAGTCCATTTGGCATTCCCAATTTATTTCTCACTTTATCCTCCTCCCATCTCTGCAGCATGGAGGAGACCATAAGAAGAACAGGAAATAAGAAAGCCTACTCCTAACCATGGCTCATCTTAATGATGGTTTTGCCTTTCTTACTTGGCATAACATCTCCATGATTCCCCAAGTCTTTTCAGGTTAAAGAAGAGGTAAAACACATGCAGAGGCTTCCATCAGGCTCCTCTGATTTGCTAGGCAAAGCACTGTGTTAATATAGACCAGATTTGCTGCACTGACAAATTGACATCAAGTGCAGGAATGTCTAGCTACTTCTTAAAAAGTACTTTGAGCAAGGCGAGTTTAAAACCAGGATGTAGGCATTCCTAAGTAGCAACATGCAGCTTTGCTGTTGAGAAGCTAATATACACCATGTTTCCCACCAAGCAGCAGGACTACCTCCAACACTGATTGCAGTTAAGTTCACTTATAGTTGCATTATGCAGCCTGGATCTTCCTCTTTGAACTCTTTTCCAGAGAGAAATTGCTCAGTAGTGATCAGAGCATGCAGTGGAGAAATGACCACTGCGATTTGTTTCTCAGATCTCAACTATGGTTTGCTCTGACAACTTAGATTGCCTTATTTTGACTTCACCACAAACTAATTGCTACATGAGGAACACATATAGGACAGCTGTCCATTAGCCTCCCAGGCATCCTGAGATCAGTGAAGTTGGTTCCAGGTCTTCACCACATGAGGAGTTAGGTTTTGGCATCAGTTATTCCACTGATGCAACACATGATGCTGGCACAGTATAGCATAAAGCCATCACACAGTAACATGGGATGAGGAGCATTGTTAGAACAGTGATCACTTCTATTCGAGAAGAGGAAGTTCCACCTCTTCAAGCCTGTATTTGCTCTCCTCAATCCCAATTTCTGACCTCCATGACACAACTTTAAACATCTTTAAAAAAAAAAAAAAAAAAAAGGTAAGCTTGGAAGCAATATTTACATGGGAGCAGATTCCACTTCTTTCCTTGAAGACAAGAGATTGAGAAGCAAGGAGAAGACTTTTTCCATTTAGAAGTTCAAAAGGCATTTTGTCCATCAGCCCTTAACACTTCTACACCCCACCACAACCCCCCCCAGACTGATATCTTCCCCAGGTAGCAACAGACAGCTGCAGAAGGAGAACGACACCCAACAGGACTTACAACAACAAGGTATGCCATGATCCTGACAGCTTCCCACAGCTTCTCCAAACCGGGGACAGTGCCATCAGGACACATATGGTTTGGGAGTGAGAAGGAATCACAACTTCAATACTTCTCAGGGCAGTGGCAGGGCTTATCAGCTGTAATCCTTACTGTACCACCAATTTCTCACTAGTTACTGCATTCCTGACTGCACTGTCAGCTTGGACAAGTACAGTTCAACTCTGTTGAGCCATACTCACTCTTGGAGAGTTTCTCCAGAAGAAACTGGAGACAGGAAGGATTTTTGCATGCAGTAGTTTTATTTTCAGTAGTTATGACCTAGTACAAGCAGCTTTTAGGAAGACAATTCTTTACACTGTAATAGAGGATTTAGGATCAACAACAATTATTATATTGGACATAAGCAGTACCTGAGTATACTGATGAAGGACATACCATAGCTTGCTAGGGAGGTGGGAGCATTGCAGAGCTTCAGTCTTCTCAGCATTCCTGAAAGGAACTACAAGCACTTAAAGTGGCTCTGCTGCTTCCACCACCTTCGTTAAAAGGTCTTATAGGATTTATTCACTAGTACCCAATAAGCGTTCAAGATGTGACATGGGACCAGATTCCACTTCTGTGCTCACAGCCTTATCCTCTACCTGAGTGCTAGAAGCTTCTGCCCCCTCCTCCTGGAAGGGTTCATCCTCCTGTGATGTTTCCCTCTCCTCCCTGGGGGAGAAGGGTCCCACCAACCAGGATAGTGGTGTGTTGTTCTTCAGATAGTCCAGCAGCTCCTCCATGTACTCATGGATCACAGCCAGCTTCCTCTGGCTCTGTGTCAGGACACTGCTGGACAAGTCCTGGAAGGACTCTGCTGCTGAGAAAGAAGCATGAAGCTCCTCTATGGTACCAAGAGATTGTTTCACCTTATCCTGAAGGCTTGAGGGAAGACCTTGGATTGCAGACACTACTTTACAACAGGTGACTTGCAGCTGCTGTGTGATACTGCATGCCAATAGCAGGGCCAGAGACTCCATTTCCTGGGAGAAGGCAGAAGTTAAGATCAGAGGATGAGTTACTCTAACAAGGAGATGCCCAGAGCCTTTGCTCCCCTGCCCAGGGTCTTACCTCTGGATATGCAGAGGTGCTGTCGCCACTCTCTTTGCAAGACTTCCTACTCCAGTCCAGCCACAGCTGGTGTAGTTTCTCCTGTGCCTCCTGAAGCTTTTGCCTAAATCCTTGTTTAAACACTTCAATCTGTGGCAAGGGAAGATCAGAGCATCAAGACAGATCTGCGGGTGAGCAGCACAGCTCTTTATCGTAACATTGGAGTTAACACCAAACCAACAATGTGGTCCTCTCCTTCCAGGAAGCTGGGCTCAACCTACCAGGTCAATGACAGAGTGAAGCTGTGCCAGGGCCTCCTTCATGCCCTGCCAGACCCGCTTCATTTTGTCTGTTGAGTGCAGGTAGGCAAACATGCGAAGTTCATCAGGGAGAGACTCCAACCGCACAAAGTATCTCTGCTTCTCCTGCTGCTGCTCCACAGGCATTATGTCTGCACCCTCCTCAGATGCTGCCAGTTTGGCTGAAAGATAGACAAAATATCTGCAAGTGGCTGAGCAGAGATGTTTACCACACAGAAAATAAGTATCAGGAGGTCCTAGACTAGAAGCCAGTTAATCTCCAGCATGGCACTTCCCATTAGCCCCATTTCAGAGTAGCCAGTTGAGGAATGAGGCTGGCCATCCCCAGTTTGATGGTTCCTAAGGCTCTTATATATGGTTTCCTTACCTAGCTCCTCATTTGCAATAGGGAGAGAGCCGCTTTCTGTCTCCCCCAGCACAGCATCTGCTCCACTTAGAGCTGTCTGGCCCACTTCAGAGTCCATAACCATCCCCACACTGCTGGTCACCGCAGACCTGGCAGCCTCCATGCCACTCTGAAGAGCCTCCTTAGTCACATCTATCACCTCCATCACTTTGCTGCTCACAGCATCCTTTGCATCAGCCACTCTGGATGATACCAGCTCTTTTGTATCAGAGATAACCTGCAGAAGAAGACACACGGCAGATAAGGGATTGAGTCATGCAGTACACTACAATCATGAATCGCACCAAGGTAGCAGCACAGTGTCTGCCAAGTATTCATCCCTGTAGGAGCTTTCCCTATGCACCTAGGGATAGTTTGCTCCTGATGTAAAAGCCTGTTTTGCTCCCAGGGTTAGAAATCCTGCAAGAACTAGGTCCCTCTGCCAGCCAAGGACAGCACAGCCTTTGATTCTTACCTGTTCCACCGGCTTTTGAAGGAGTGGGATCTTTTCCCCTAGTTTATCCAAGCCCTTGGAGGCATACTCACTGGCTGCAGCAACTGGAGACAAAAAAGAAAGTATCAAAGCCTGTTTTTTTAGAATTCCATCTCAAGTTTCATCTTCCTGAGCAGTTTATATTGCAGGGAACCTCAATGAATATTAGGTATTTTAAGAAGTTCCCCCCTGTGAGGGTGCTGAGGTGCTGGCACACGGTGCCCAGAGAAGCTGTGGCTGCCCCATCCCTGGCAGTGTTCAAGGCCAGGTTGGACACAGGGGCTTGGAGCAAGCTGCTCCAGTGGAAGGGGTCCCTGCCTGTGGCAGGGGTTTGAAACCGGATGAGCTTTAAGGTCCCTTCCAACCCAAACTAGGCTGTGAACTTATGAAACTTCCCATTCACATCACCAAGGCCAGGTCTGTTATAGGTTGAATCTGTAGAGCAGCTTGTCTTGATCTCCTTAGGGATCTGTTCACTTTGATAGCAGCCAGCTCCCACTTGTGCAGACATAGCCACCATCTCCACATCCCAAGGATCCAGGATCACATAGAAACCAACAGAAGTTTCTGTGTTCTAGAGGTTTGGCCTCTCTGGGTTTAGAGTGAATTCAGGCCTGTCACAGACTGTATTATCAGACAGGTTCAATGCAGGGTGGATTACCATGAGGCTCCAGTGTAGTCAGAACTGGCTGCACGCAGGTTGCTGTGGCTTCGGTTACACTCTTCACTCCTTTCTCTGCTGCATCACACACAGATCTGATGTAGGGGTGGCTCTCCTTTGTGGAGGCATAAGCTGTAGAAACCATGTCACAGGCAGAGCTGACCAAAGTCAGGTTAGCCACCTGACTTACTGCAGCCTAAAAGGTAAAAGATAAAACCATGAAGCTTGCAAACCTGACCTTCCTACGTAGTTTTGCCCCAAAACTTCCTGTTCAAGCCACCCAGTCTGGTTGAAACAGCAAGGCTTGGTTTACTTGGACACTTGTTTTAACATCTACAACTCAGCTGTGAAAGAAGCTATGGAGCATTGACACTTCTGGTTGGTCCGTTCTAGGAAGGTCTTCCTTTAGCACAATGCTACCCAAGTGACAGATGAGTTCATGGGCAACCTCACCACTTCTGTACCTGTAATCAGCTCTAACTCATTAGGCATAGCTATTTAACAAGCTAATATTCCAGGAAAGTTTCATCAGACAGGATCAAGTTGGCTTTAAGTTGACAGACTTTATATTATCCAGCAAGAAGGATGCTGCTAGTCATGGGAGTAAAGCAAGGAACTTCTGGGCTGCTGAACATGGGAGCCTTTACTGCCTGCAGCAAGCCAGGATCTTGACTACAGTTACAGAAACATCTTTCCTAGCAAAAACCCAAGCTATTTTGCTCAGCCTTGCAGGTTTCACAAGGTCTTCAGGCCAACTTCTTTGGCTGTGTTGTCATGAATCTCCGGAGGAGCTGCAGGGCACAGCCTGAGCCAAGGAAGCACCACAGAGGAGCCACCTCCTCATACCTGGACCCAGGAGCTGCCACTCCTTACATCTCATCCAGAGCACTTACCTGCTGCTCCTCTTCCTTCACCTCCAGGGTGGTCTTGGCAGCTCCCTCTTTGTCAGGCATAGCAGAGGCCATTGCAGCTGAAATGCAAACAGCACCATGGCTTTAGGAAGAGGAAAAGATAGGGAGCCTCCAGAGGACTTCACCTTCCCAGTGGAAACATCCCTCTGACCTCATTATAGGGAGAAATTCTTTGCTACCCATTAAGGGAAGACCCACAAAATAGGCTTCTTCACATTACAGAAGGAAAGGATCTGTGCTACTTGCAAAACTATCTAGTATTTGTTTCCACAAGGTTTATGATAACCAGAGGAGCAAGGAGAGCAAAGTCTTCACCCAGGATAGCTCTTACAAGAGAGATTATAACACCCATTGTCAACATCCTCCTTCCTCCCCTTTGAGGAAATCTCACCTTAGAGAAATAGCTACAACAGGATTAGAAGAATAAAGCATCCCAAGAGCTGTCCTTCTGCTGTTAACACACCCCAAGCAGAACCAGCTCAGGCTGTACCTAACCTTTCAGGCACAACCACAAACACTCTTGCATTAGTTAAGACTAAGTCTATTCCATAATTAAGCCAGGTAAGAAACACCAAAACATGAACCCAGAGCTCATAGAACAGTTACAGCCCCAAAACCTGGGGGAAAACCCCCACCAAACACATGAGAACAGTACCTTCCTGCCCTGCTGAAGGCAAGCAGATGACCAGCAAGGAAGAAGCAGTCACCACACCATGCCCCATCAGCCCTGCTCTGCCTTTTTATATTGTGTGGGGAAGTGGGGTAAGGAGGGACCCTCAGTGACTGACAGCTCTGGGAGCAGCAGAAAGGAGCCAGGCTCTGTCCTGGCCAATTAGAGGTAGAATGGGGCAGGTGGGCCCTGTTGAGTCTTGTTGATTACTCTGTAATTAGGCAGGTACCTGTACACCTTGCCCTGTGCACGGGAGTTCCCTCTGGGGCTCCTGGAAAATGAGAGGTATTACTGGCATGGAGCATGCCCCGTTATGATCACACACCATCTGGAAATTACCATTAGTTTTGTTTCTCTTTTTGGTGGGAAACAGTAACCAGAAAAGAAAATGAAACATAGTGAAACCAATCCACATGAGGACTTCACCCCTAATGTGGGATTCCTGTTGCTTTCACTTGCTGGGGCTTAATGTTTAATGCCAGAAGTGGCTGCTCAGCTGCTGCCTAATCTCAGAAGCATTGGAACTCAGGTTTCTCATCTCGAAGTCCCCAGAGAGCCTGGTTTCTCTCTGTCTTCCCCAAGGTCCATAAGGGAGAAGAGCCCCTGTATAAGGCTGGTAAGTAGACAGGTTAGACCCCTTCTTCTTGTGTTCAGTGTGTACTTTCAGGGCTGGTCTGACTTGTGCCACCCTGCTCAGGAAATCCACTTGCCTTCAAGCACAGGATCTAGCTAAAGGTTCTCCATATAACATAGGGTAGCTATGTTGTGCTATCTTGGAGACAGCTGATGGCTGCTGCAATGGAGGTGACCAAAGGCAAGATGGTTGCACATCTCACCAGTTTTGCAAAGCATGAGTCAAAAGAAGTGTCACAGGAAAGGTATCAAGCCCTGAACAATGTACCAAGAAGTGTCAAAATGCCTTCACCCCCCAGAGCCATGGAGGGGAGGAGCACAAGGAGTGAGGCCAGTTATTGTAAATCACAAGAGTCTGGAAGTCCCTTGTGGCTCTGGTTGGTTTAACTTTTTATTAAGCAAGTTCCTTTCTTTTGCTGCTCAGAGCCCAAGTGTCTTTGTACATATAGGAATGCACAGGCAGGGACAACTATTATGAAGGAAAGACACTACCCAAGGTGGGAACATGGAGAACATAGGTGCTGCTGTGCTGTGAAGGGCAAAGAGTGAGTGTAAATCCTGGGAGGTAACTGATCCAACAGGTCCTGACAGTCTGCTGCAGTTGGTGCTGGAGAAATCAGTGAATCAACCAGCTCGGTTAATCTAGGAGGGTCACAGCTAACGGTTTATTCTCTGTATTACACAGCGAGCATTTGCACTGCTTGCAGATGAATCACTCTTTCTGTGCTCATTATTGCACTGGTGTTTGAAGACCACAGCGCTATTGTAGAAAAGCAGGGGTCCACCAAGGCAGAGTAGAGCCTGTGGATGCTGTATCCATGACGACAGCTCCTTCCACTTTCAGTCACAAATTGACACCAATTAGAGGTAGTCTTCCCAGCCCTAATGATGGGAAGAGGGAGGCTGAAGCACTGGGCTGGACTTGGGGACTGTGGGACTCTGTCCTCAGTTCTGGCAGCTGCCTGTGGGGTGACTTTCTCTGAGGCTGTTGGCTCTGTGTCTCAGCTTCTCCATCTTTAAAATGGTGATCATGATTTTGACCTTTGCCCACAACACGTTTTGTGATCTGCTGATGAAAAATGCCAGATGAGAGCTGGGGATTTCTGATAATAAACTCCACACTTGTCATTAGAAAGGCAGTTCCTGCTCAAGTCAAAGCCACAGTTCCCTTAACCAGAGAAATAGCTTCTCTGTGCAGATCTGGCCAGAACCAGTTTCAAAGTCTTCGGATTTGCCTCCCTCCAGGAGGCACGGTCAGTCTCTGATGGGATGATGTGCTGATGCAAGAGCTCAACTTGAACACGTAAGCAGATCTGTCAGGAGGGCAACCTGGGCTCTGTACCTGTCAAATCCTGCTCCTTCTCCTGAGACCTGGGCAAGCTACATACAGCAACTGTCTGAAATAGGTGCCTGCTCCCTGAGAAGGTGCCACTATCTGCCTCCCACCAGCATCCCTCTCAGCTGAACCAGGACTTCCCAGCAGGCTGGACCACTGGGCAACTGCTAGCTGAAGCAGACAATAGCAGGTTACCTATATGAGATCACCCAAACCCCTCCAGCAGCATCCTTAGCATGGAGTCTCATGTGTAGTTAACTGTGCTCTGTTTCAGTGTGGAAAATGGATCTGGAGGACTTGTGCACGAAGTAAAACAGGAGGCTTGATGCCCCTCTGCTCTGCAGCATACTTGCTTAGATTGCTCTTTCAATCACCTCTGTATCATGATATCAGCAGGTAAGATAGGGCCAGTATTCAAAGAGGATTCCCTCTAAACTGCCAGAAACACCACTCAGAAATATCATTTAAAGTCCCAGTCATAAAAAGAAACTGGAGCTTGAAATATGGACAGAGCATGGAAGAATAGGCCCATTCTGAAGATCACTGCTTTAGGCAATCTCCTTAGCAGCTTGTTAGATGTTTTATAAGTGTCCTTCCCTGCTCCACAAGAAATAATACTACTAATGATTGTGTCAGATACAAAATAATTTCACAGCCTTTTTTGCCTGCAAGCTTTCCAATTGCAATAGATCATGTGCCCTTCCATGCAGCTGAAGGGATCCAAAACCTGTAGCACAGGCAGCTTGGCTGGCAAAGAGAAAATAATAAATAAAATAGAGAGGACAGCAGGGCCATCTTTTGCTGCATTAGTTCCAGCCAATACTTTGTTTGACTTAGCAAGTCAGGCACTTACTGAGCCGTGATACCTTCTCATTAGCACAGCTGAGCCTTCTCTGGGATCCCAGGAGGTGTTAGCATTAAGCATGGAGAAGCATTATAAGGGAGTCAGCACAGTGGTGTGGTGCTCTGAGAGAGCTGGTGAACATCCCACCACCAGGGCTGGGGTGGTGGGACAGTCATGATGGCAATGGGAGCTGTGCCACCATAGATGTCCCTTTAAGCAAAGACACCATTTACATGCCTGGTGTGTTGGGGGAGTGTTTTAACCAGTGAACCGTGGGAACTAGTAAGGTCCCTGCAAATACACCTCTGCTCAGGATGATTGTCCTTGTGGACATTACCACACATGAACAATTGCATCAATCCACCAGGAAAAGCTTTCCTGCTAGCGACATCCTCTGCCCTGGCAGAGATGAAGCCAGGCAGAAAGGGCACAAGAGCCTTTGTGTCCTACCCAACAACACACCACTGAGAGTTTTACTTCTTTGATTTTAAAGATAGGATACCCTCTAGGGGAAGTGGCAAACTCATTTCACACTCCTCCCTTCAATGCTTGGTTTATTTCTAACAAAACCACTGCAACCCAGGCTAGAGTTATGTGAAATACCCAGAGACAGCCAATAAAAACTCCAATTCCCAGGAGTGTTTTGAAACTCCTTGTTGAATTTTCACTGTGGGTGATGGGGATAAAGGTCCCAGGAGTGACTGGTTAATAAAAATAGATAAATAAAATGCATTGAAAAAGAGCAGAGGACAATGACAGTGCTCAATGCAGTTACAGACCACAGATAAATATCTTGCAGTGCTAGATCAATCTTCCAACGTTGATTGCATTTATCTACTCTTTTTGCCCTGAACAACAGAGAACATCATTGCAGACTCTTGCAGAAAGTAGGTGAAAGCCAACAGCTCTGCAGCATCAAAGTTTGGGCCTCCAGTGGTCTGTAGAGCACTTGAGTGGGGCGATGGCCTCCTGTTCTGCTGCTTCTCATTTGGAGGTGCTCCCTCCTGTTCAGTCCAGCTCACTGTGTAAGCTGGTTTGGGCTGGGGTAGAGCTTCACATTCATGCTGGAGGAGGAGGGAACTCACCCAAGCCTGCACAAGGAGAAACACCAGCATGTGAGTCCCTTGAGCACGTGTGGTCCCCAGACATGGGGGCTGATGGAGCACATTTACATCTCATGACTGACTGCAGATCCTGGCTGAGCTTTATGTGGGATTTGTTCACTCTCCATCCAACACTCTGATGTCTGTGAGGCTCTGATCTCACACAGTGATCTTTCCATCGGTTAGGACACTTACACTACCATTTTCTTATTCAATTGCCTATTTTTTCACATTTTGCAAGAATTTAATTACCTTTGAAACCTATTCCCTCCTCTGTAAGATCTGATTGAAATTTAGCCAATGTATTCAGAAACTACTGAGTAGTGACAATTTAAAAACCCAAATGAGAGAGTTACACTGCAATGTGAAATAATACATTAGCCATTTGAGTTTAATTTATCCACAGCACTTCCAATTTTTCCCCATATGTTAACTGATGCAATCTCGAGATATTTATTCCACTCTCGTATGTCCTCTCTTTTTTCACTGAACTGCCTGAAGTACCTGGCACCACCTGGGAGATGTTTCCCCTCAAGACCTACCAGGGATCCCACCCAGGGCACACCAGCCTCAGCTCACAGGTTTTCAGTGTGTCTATAAAGAATGCAGCTCAAACAAGAAACAAAAGGTCAGAAACCAGAAAGCTTGTGACTAACTAAATCTAAACTTGTGTGTGTGGGTATTTAATCTCCGTATTGTTAAAGCTACACCTGGACTCCTGGGCTTTGCCATAGAGGTAAGTGGGCAACCCAAGTATTATTCAGGACACCACCGTCTTCCATCCTTCACGCACGGCCACTGTCTCAGGAGGTTGTAGGACCTCCCTGTCCCTCACAGCAGTCCAATGAAGTCAATAAATAGACCATGGATAGTGGAGCTTTTTCTTTCTGGTAGAAAAGACTCCCAGTAACTGAAGGCTGAGATTGACAAGAATGACTGGTTGGGGCAATTTGGTGTTTTGAATCCTGCATATATTGTCCTTTCTGGAAAGCACCTCACCTTTGGTCTCCTTCAGATTATCTTCCCACTGTACCATTGACAGGTCTCAAATGGTTGTTCTTTTTGCACATAGCATGGCTTGAGGTTTTTGTGGGAGAATGATGATGCAATATACAGTCATTGAGGTCTGCAAACGA